TCATGGAAAACCAGCCTGAAAAGGCAATGTCATTTCACCACCCCCCCACCCTCCCCCACGCACTTTTGGAAGTCCAGCCACAGCAGTTCTCTTGTCACTTCGAGAAACCGAGCCAAATGACTTGGAGGACGCCATGCCCTTGCAACGGCATTCCCTGTCATCTCATCGTCCCCTTCTCCAGGTGACCTAAGCAGAAATGACCCCCAGTGCCCTGGGGAGGTCAGGGAGGCTCCCAGCAGTAACTGGTCCAAGATGACTCAACCAGTAAATGGCAGAGATGATGAGACGCCAGTGTGGGTCTGACAATTGGAAAGTCCAACCCCTTTGACGCTTGTTCACAAATGAGATGAGGAGAGGAGGGGATGCGGGATGGTGGGGGTGCGAAGGCAGGAGAATGCTGGGGATGTGGAAGTAGAGGGGTGGCCTCTTCGGAAGCGGAGCTAGCAGTAGTCAAACCACACCCCCTTGGGGCGGACTGCAGCAGACTGATGGGTGGGACATCCAACGGAGGCCTGAGAGGCCGGGGTGGGGCTAGCTGGGGGGGGTACAGGAGCCCTAACAGCATTTCAGAACTTGTGGTCTCCACTGAGGAAACTACAACTGGTGAGTGGCTGCTCCTCTCCCCACACGACACCCCTATCTTGAGGTACACCCGTCCTGAGGTGTGCAAGCAATCGCCCTCTCTCCCACATCGCGCCCCTGTTCTGGATGAGCCTGCCCCTAGGAATATGGCCTTTGGGCCACTTGGGTTGTTTTTTTTTGTTTGTTGTTTCAGCCGGGTTCCCAGTTCTCTTCTTGACAGTCAGTGTGATAAACCCCTGCCTGGCTGGCCTCTGCCTTTCTAGTCACTTTTTGGCTCAGGCAACCAAGATGACCCCTCTTCTTAGCCTACCTAGTCTTGAGAGCCGATGGTCCCTGCCCCCACCCACTTCCTCAAGGGTCAAAGCCTTCTCCCACACCTGTCTTCTGTGGACCACGGGTTTTCTCTTCTGGATCAGCTCTCTTTACTTGCTTGGGTAGAGTTGGGGGTGTCACCTGGTTCCTGCTCCGAGGATGGAGTCTAGAAGCTCCAGCCTCAAGGGGAATGTTGAGTGCCGGATGCCTTTTGACCTGCCTTCCTGCAGCAATGACCACTTATCTTGATGGGTTCCAGGGGGATAGACACATCAGTTCTCTAAATGGTGCCTTGACTCAGCCCTAGGTGCCAGGGTGGACTGGGTTGTGTGGGGAACCCTTTGTCTGAATGGACGAACGCCTGGCCCCCTCCAAGGCCCTGCCCTGCAGAGGGACTTGAAGCAGCAGAAATATCAGTCTGTCTGCCACCCTTGAAGCCGGATGGTCAGTGGGCAGGCCCAACATATATACAAGTACTAGTCCTAAACCAACCACTTGCTATTTTCAGTGACTGTCCTACCCTTGCTCTTCAAGGGTAAAAGTGGTCGAATTTCCCACTCCCCGACTCAGATCCTATCTGGGGCTGGTTTATTTGTTCCATTTCAGGACAAAGAGCTCTGACCCAGGATTAGCGACTCATTCTTTCTCCCCTCACCTCCACAGGCTTGAGACAATGCTGGGCCTCCCTTCCTTTTCTGCCACGGACCCCACACAGTGGCCTTTCTCTGAGAACCTCTGAGATTGGTACCCAGACAAGACACAATGCCCCTACCTCCCACGAGACTGCCCAGTCCCTACGGCGCTGACCGGCTGGTACAGCTGGCAGCCAGACTCTGGCCAGCACTATGTGATACCCTGATCACCGTGGGGAGCCAGGAATTTCCTGCGCATAGCCTGGTACTAGCAGGGGCCAGCCAGCAGCTGGGCCACAGGGGCCGGTGGGCGCTGGTGGACGGCATCAGCTCTGCCACCTTTGTCCAGCTCCTGCACTTTGTTTATGGGGCGAGTGTGGAGCTGCAGCCTGGGGAGCTAGGGCCCCTGGAGGAGGCTGCCAGGGTGCTGGGGGTCCAGGCCCTGGAGGCAGCATGCAGCAGCGCCCGAAGGGACGGGGCTCAAGAGCAGCAGGAGCCAGGGCTGAAGACACAGGGCAAGGAGCTAGGAAACCCCTTGAGGGATTCTGAGCGAGAACTTGGGGACCTTGGGGAAAAGCAAAGACTTGGGTGTGGGGAGAGAGAGCAGAAGCCACTGCCCAAGCACAAACTACCAAGAGAGAGCTCTGGGATGGCAGAGGCAACACAGGAGGGTCAGGGGGCACAGCTGAGGTCACAGGAGCTCAGCCAAACCTCTGTCGACCACGGGGGTGTAGATGGAAAGCCAAGGGTGGTCAGGTGCCTGAGAGAGAGTCCAGGGGGCTCTGAGAAAAGCCTGGGGGAGTCCCTTGGCCCCCTCCTTCCAGCAGGTCCCCTCCAAACCAGTATCATCCCCGGGCCCTGGTGGGCTGAGGCCCCTCTGTTAGGGGAGAGCCTGCCTGCCTCGCAGAGCATCCTGCTGTTGCCGCCCAGAGATGGCCCTCCCTTCTCCCGTAGCACCCCCATCGCTGGAGCCTGGCAGCAGGGCTGGTCCCAGGACCAGAGGTGAGGAAGACCTGGATGGCCTCAGTTGCTGGGAGGGAGTGGTCCAGGAAAGGCAGTGGTACTGGGAGGGGGGG